ATTATAATCAGAACTTATCAACTGATTCTAAAGAATTTCTGCTTGGTAATTTGTTTTTGGAAGATTGTGATAAATTATTGACTTTCTTATCATTATCGTTTCCAAGATCAATCAAAATATTTCATCTTTTACACAATTGCCACTTTCATCAATTTCTTTTAATTCTAATTCCGTGATGTAGGCGTTGATGATGTTCTTCATGTTCTTCTTCTTCGTGATTAAAGACGGCAATTGCGGCGTATAAAAATTGAATTGCGGTTGCGATTGCGGCATATGAAAATTGAATTGCGGCTAATTGCGGTTCCCATTTTTATTCGTGATGTTTGCCATTATCATCATGGGTTGTTGTCATCTTCGTCATCTTCATCCAAATTAACAATTTCAGCTTGTTTTTTCTTTTTTAGATACACTTCCTTGAGCATCTTGTTCAACAGATAAACTTTCTACAAACTAATATTTTTAACTTTTTGACAGACAAGTTTATTTGATTGTCTTTTAAATTTGTCTCTAACAGGATTAATTGATATTAAACAAAAATACATAAAACATGCATATAAGTTGTTTAAAAAATTTTTTATTCTCCGCCTTTATTCTGATTCACTTTTTTCTTTAAAATAATGCATGAAACTTACTAATACTTCCCGAGTATGGGCTAACAAAACTTATCAAGTATGAATACAAAAATGGTCTAAATTTATGGACAATTGGATAATGTAAACTTCTCCATGCCTTCAAAGGATCCCTTAAACTTTTGAATTTATGACTTATCAATATCATTCTTCCTAATGCCATTAATACACTTGTACTTAATATAGCTATTGCTATTGTTGTCGCATTGATTTCCATTTCCAATAAAACTTGAAGGAAAAAAATTTTTTTTGATAATAAAAAACTTTTGTTTCGCCGAATTTTATTGATAAGAATCATTTATTTTGGTAAGATCTTTACTAATTTGAGACACGTGATAGATGCACAACAAAATGCAACGATTTATAAATTTAATTATTTTCCGTGACTTAAAACATATGATTATTCCTGCAACTTAAAATTTTATGCAATTTAAATATTTTCATGAAATTCTAAAAGGTATAAATACAAGTCTTGTTATTTGGATGGATATGTATTAAAAAAAAATTTTTGTCACAAAAAAGAGAAATTTGCTTATTAAAAAATTAAAAAAGAAATAAACCTCAACCAAAAAATGTTGAATTAGCAGCACAATGAGATTAGTCAGGTCATAAATGTTACTATCATTATTATTATTATATTATTATATTATTATATTATTATATTTATCATATTTTAATTTTTTTTTTTTTGTAACGAAGAACAATTATCTCAACGAACTTTTTGTTACGCACAACAAATTTAGGTCAAAAGGTTTCAAATTTTTTTAAAATATCGTATCAACAAAATTCAACAATAGTAATACCAAATAACGGATGATTCACTTTATGATAAACTTGGTAATTATCTTAGGCCAGAATTACCTGATACTGGTGAGGAAGGAAAACAAGTTGTTCAACCAATGCAAGAAATTGAGGAACAAGAAGAATATGAAGATACTGAGGTGACCAAATAATTACATATACACTCGGGTATATATTTATCATATTAAGCTCTTCCTTTACATTTTATTCATATGTAAATAATAATAAAGCAACGATAATACATCAGAAGAAAAATTATTTAATAAATGAAAATAGCACCTGTTAACTATTTTCAAGGCTGTGTTATATGATTTTTTAATGCACCAGTAAAGAAGGGTAATTTTTTTTCGTTTAAAATGCAAAAAAAAAGCACCGGCAATTATGAATAACTCTATAAAAATGTAACCATCTAGAATAGAAGATTATAGGAATGATTCTTAGATGGTAATGGTACAGGAAGAACAAGATCCATACAAAATAATAAATCCAATAATTATGGGACAATAATATATTATTTAAATATAATCACAACTATCTGAAGTATAGATATATACATACACATAGTAACAAATTTATTGATATTAGACTTTACTTTTTGTTTTTATGAATTTTAACTTAATAAATATCAAGTGATTTATACAGTTTACTCTCTAAATGGGACCATTTGGCTTACAAAAAAATGTCCACAATAATTTATATATGGGATATATAAACTGGGCTTAAATTCTCAGTTCTTTATAGAGAAAGATCTATTATAGAGAGAAATAGAGATCCATCATAGAAAATAGCAATAGAGAGATCCGTTGTAGATAGAGTGAACTATAACTATGTGAGTTGAGAATTTATGGCATCTGAAATTTTTTCTTTTATTATTAAGAAGTATGAATAAATTTACATTTATGAAAAAAAATGATGTGTTTTTTGGCAAAAAGAGGAATATTTAAGAAAAAAAAAATTATTTAATTAGCTCACTGTCATCTAAAAATTCACATGAAACAACTACTTTTGTCAATCGATGCAATTGAAGATAGTGAGAAGAGCATTTTAAGCGCATTTTGCATTTTTTCTATATTTGATTGGTTTCTTGCAGTGTTTTTTAGGAGGTAGTATGGGTGGTTTAATACCATGCTATAATTAATCAATAAATATATATATTAATCATTAATAATCAATAAATTATATGTATTAATTATTCCTAACAATAAAAATTGTTTACTTTTCTAAGCCTGTGTCGAGGCTCGTATTGTTTAGCAAATTCAGCATTGTTATATATTAATGCAAACCCATTAGAACGATTTCCATCATATGTAGTTCTCATAGCAAATACAAAGACAACATCTTTGTCGACTCCAAACATTTTACAAATTTGGTTTTGAATTTCACTATTTGATAAACGAGATTTGTTGGGGTGTAAAACATCAATTACTAATTGTTTACGATGCGCTGTGATATTTTCTTTAAATGTTCTAACTCTAAAAGCGATCGAGTTATCTTTAATATTTTTAACCTTGTCAAACTCTGTAATCTTTTCAACCTCCATGTCCTTGTTAATCTTTTTACATTTTCTGACCTTTCCATATATTATATTTTAAATTTAGATAATGTATTAGTCATTTATATTTTAAAAAACAAATAAATTAATTATTGAAAACCTTTATATCAACAAACCCTTTTTTTCATTTTGTTATTTTGTTAATTTTTTGATGAAAAATTTTTTGAAAAATAAAAAAAGGTGTGTGATGCGCGTTTGTGGTAAACAAATCACCATTTGTACGACTGTACGAATGACGCGAAAATTAAAATAGTTGCTTCAAATATAATAATAATCAATCATCAGGTAACAGATTACTCAACTACAAGAACCATTGCTAAAACCAAATCCTAAGATTTCCTACACAAGATCATATAGTAATTATATATATATATTAGTTTAGTAATTAATATAGGTTCACAAAAAAAAAATTATACAAAAATATCTGTAATTTCACAACAAAGAGAAATCCCCGTTACATTACTTGATAGAATGAGTTGTGAAAAAGAAATTATGACTTATTTTTCTCAAGGCTATATTCTTTGAAACTATTAGAAGAAAAGAAACAAAATCATTATGTAAATATTATAATAAAAGATTTGGAAAAAGACAACAGGCAGTTAACTGAATTCGGTAAAATAAATTTTCAAGAACTCCAGGGGGCAATTTCCACTATTAACATCATGCTTTTTTATATCCATGATTATTAATAAATATAACGATGATACTCAAAAAAAAAAGTAAGCTTTTCCTGAAATCTTAGCCTGGTAGATACCATAAAATGTAGATTCTAGGTCTAATTCAAGAAATATTTAGTATCAAAAACAATAATAGTCTGTGTTTATGGTACGAAAGGTTCGTTGATTTCTGAGGGATTAGTTTTGTATACAAATCTTAGTCTTAGAAGTCTTAACCAAGTAGAAGCGAAAGGTTTGTTGATCTCAGGAGAACTTGACCAAAGAAGTAAGAATATAATCATTTGTATACTTTTAAATCTGATTATTGGCTTTATTAATTTAAACATAACATTTTTAAAAAAGGATCTAGCATTCTAACATATTTTATTTATTTCATTTTATTAAGAAACAAAACATCATAAAAACAGCATGGGTCGATATTGATGGTTACAAATTAGTATGTGGCTTTATTAGAAAAATTTACTACCAAAGATAATAATGTTTTGCGAGTTAATTTTTTTGGTTATTTACATCACAATAAATTATTAAAATAATTTGTTGTATAGTAACAGATTGGGTTCTAGTGATAACAAATCATATTAAATTTGGAAAAAGCAAACTATATTTTTATTTTTAGTCATGATACTTCACTGATATCTTTTAATTCAAAGACACGGAGTGTTAATCCTAATTATGTGATTATTGAATCATCTACTTTATGTAGAGCTTTCAGTGGTAATGTCGCATTCTTCTATTTCAAATAGAGAGCAAGTTAAGTAGGTTGTAGATTAATTTTGTGATATCTTATTATAGTATAGAGACAGATCCGAAGATAGTCTTGATAGTAGTCCCGATGATGATGATAATGACAATGACAATGATAAGGAATATGATGATATTAATGCAGTTGACAAAGGATTTGACATAGATCGCTTTCATGAAAAGATTTCATATGTAAGATTATTTATTAAACTACAATTTCTGTCCAAATTTTCAATTTTTAATATTATTTTAATATACAAATTTAGTACATCGAAATTATCCTGATATACAACAGAAAGCATTAGGTATTCGCTTGAAGTATTAAATTGTGACAATATTGATGAAGGAGAAGCCGCAATGGTTGTTAATATAGTAATAGAAAAATTACTATGTGCGGATTTTTTATGTTACACATTAATGTTGTGCGTGAATTTGGAATATGCAAAGGCTCAATAACCAAGCAAGCTGTGAATAATCTTTCCACGATTGTATTTCCAAACACTAATTAATAGCCTGTCAGGGAGTTTTTTTTTATTTATATTAGTAAAAATATTTATAAAGGTTCAAAGTTATCAATCAATTTTATTGATTTTACTATAAACTTTAAAATGTAAAGGTTCAAATAACCAAGTAAGCTTGGAATAATATTTCTGCAATTGTATTTACAAATATTCAATTAACAGTCCGTCAGAAAGTTTTTTCATTTATATCAGTAAAAAAATTTTCAAAATTATCGATTTATTGATTTTTACTATTTTGGAAATAGTATTATTAATTACTGAGAAAAGTCAATTCCTTTTCGTTCTATTAGGTTGTACTGCATATGTGTCCACCTTCCAATTCGCCAGGTTTTGATAAGTATCGAACAGTGACCTTTAGTAATGTTACCTCATCTTCTCTGATTGGTCTTTTAGGTTTGATAGACGGTTTAAATATCACTTCTTTCAACTTCATCGTGCCAACAAGGGACATGTCTATTAAACATGTCTTTGTATAGAATTAACAATTATTTGGAAAATTTTATTCCTCTCCTGCTGGAAATTTAAAATCTATTTATTGAATTTGTATGCTTTTTTCGCCAAATCTTGCTTAAATGCCATCATTATTGCTAGGCTTTCGAAACTGTAAAGGTAGACGACCAGATAATGAAGTTTTTTTTTCACGATCCTTTCATATTAAAATAAATATCAAACATTTAAATCAGTCATTGTCACCACGATTAATATTTCGAAAATGCTTAATAATAAACCATCAACAGAAACAATAACAAAAACTTTGTCAAATCCATCTTTTATTCGGGATTCTAGAAAGGACAAGCGAGTGATGCAGGCGAAATATGAGGGTACAAGCGTAGGCGCGAAATGTATGATCAAAAATATTAGGAGAATGCCCTCAAAAATATCGGATCAAAAAAAAATTTTTGATTGTAAATTTTTCCTCAAAAATTGACAATGCGGCGCAGAAGTTGCTTGCACTATATATATACATTCTTCAGTATTTAAGTTAAAGGATTTGATAGTTCGTGATAAATAATTTTTTGGTGCTTTTCACCTTTGACTGAATAGATTAATTGGTATAATTTTAGATGAGTGTGAACCAGATTTTACATTTATTGGATGATTTTATATATAAGAATATTGTTATTCAAGATTTAAAAAAACATTATAGGGGTGATTCACTTTACCCAAGGTTTCTTATGCCAGGAATACATTAAATAATATTTATAATAAATAATTCACTTCACATTTAAAAAATAAAAATGTCAGTTGAGATGTAATTTATAACTTATGTATAATTATATACATCAGAGACATTCTCTAAAATAATATTTTAGTAAATAATGCACACATCTTTCAATTAAATAATCAATTGAATTATTACCATTGATGTGAAATTTAAATTTAGTAAAAAAATTTTTTCTCGGCAAAGATTTATAAACTATTTAAACGAAAATATATATAACAATAAATAATATAACACATTTTGTTTTTATTTTTTAACAATTATTTGAAAAACTTCCAGTTCATCAAATTTACTACCATTTACTATATTGATATTATTATAAGTCCTTGGATTACTACCAATAACGCCATTACTTATACTAAACCAAACATCACAATATCCAAAATAAGGTAACTTGGAAGGATTACAATAAACTGCATACATATAATCATTATGAGCAACATAACTAAATTTTGCAGTATTAATGGCATTTCTTCTATCAACTATATTAAATATAAAGCTTTCAGTTGTAGCTTTATGCTCATACCCATTCCAATTAAATGGATTATAGCCACCAACTAATTGTTCCGAATTTTGTATTTTACTAACTACAAGGGTACAGTGGATATTATCACATTTTTGGTGAAATGTAGTTGCATATAGACCATCTCTACTACTACGATATAGAAGTTTAAATTCATATTTAACTTCCTTGAGTAAAGTATACGGTGGACTTTTTCTATCAATCCAACTTGCAAAAAGCAAAGTAAGATTTTGATTGATTGTTGATGATTCATTCAATTTTGAAATTCTTGACGAAGATCGGCTCAATGTTTTATGTTCATCTGGAAGTATATAATGTTGTAAAAGGTTTTTCCATAAAGTCTTGGGAAAAAGCATTTGATATGGTTCAATTCTATCAAAAAACACTTTTTTAGAAATATTCTCATATCTTATTAGAAAAAGAAATTCTTTTATCGTGTTGCCTAAATCAACAAAATTTCGTGATGACCAATCTTCAACATTGATGTTACTGATTTCAGGATGTTTTGCTAATCCCCATTTAAGAATGTTTTCCCAGATAACCATCTCATCAACATAAAAATCATCTCTTTCGAGGATTTCTAATAGAATCGATTTTTCCAATGATTTAAATTCACTTGATTCAAATAATTCTTCGCTATATTTACAAAGATTTTCCAAATAGATGTTTTTTAATTCGTTAAATTTTTCATTGGCATAAATTGATTGTAGAACTTTAACTGGGTTTTTTTTTATATACTCTTCATGATTTTCAATAAAGTATTTCATCGTATATTCATAAAGTGACTCTAGACCAAATTCATATGCTGCAATTGATAGTTCTAATACTTCGGCTCCAGAAAAACCTTCAAATTCAATTTTACAAGTGTACAAAAATCTATAAATTATTAAATAAATTATTATTATTATTATATACTCAATAACAATAAATAAATATTATTATTTAAACTTACGTGAGAATGTGTTTGAAACATTTGTCACTAATATTAGCTATTTCAATAATATAATATCCATCTTCTTTTGTTGCATCACTTAACGCATTGCTAAAAAATGGACAGTGAGCTGATATGATAGGTGCATGTGCATGAACTTCTTGAACTTCTTGAGTGTTTGGTTCTACACCAACATATATTTTTACATCATAGAAATCTTCTGTGTTTAATAATCTTTCATTTTCATCAAAATATTTTTCAAATATTGAATTCATTTTTTTTTTTTTTTTTTTTTATCACCATCACTACAAAGTCCATATATATGACTTCGTGTAACCTTGTAGTATAGCAAGAATTTTTCAACAGACATGATGCTAGAAGATATACAATATTTGACGTTTTATTTTTTATCGTGTCTTTTAAGATTATGGAGTTCAACCTTACCAGGATATATACATCCTGATGAATTTTTTCAGTCACCTGAAATAATGGGTGGTGAGCTTTTTAATCAACCAAATAAAATTTTATGATGATATGGTACATGATGTTTTTTTTAAATAATAACAACTATAAATTTATAGAAGATATTTTCGGATATGAAGTATTTCGTCCTTGGGAATTTGAGAAAAGTCCACAATGTAGATCTATAATTGTTCCGTATGTTTTTTATATTACTATTATTATTATTAATCTTATTGAATTAGAAAAGTTTAAAAGACATTTTCTTTATTTCAGAGCATTGACAATTGGAGTCCCGTTTAGCATTTTAAATACTATAAATACACTTGTAATGAAACTTGGGTTTAATGGTATGAGTAAATAGATATATATGTGTGTGCGTTGGTGATTAGGTTTTTAATTATATATAATTAGATCAAAACTTTTAAAAAATGATTACTTTTTTTAATAGATTTAATTAATTCACAATCAATTTTTTTAACTGAAAGAATCTCTTATTTTATATTATCTTTTGGAATTGGTAGGAAAAAATTTTGATTGTTTATTTGCAATCTATATTATATGGTTCAAGAAGAATTGAATTTATCTATTATAAATTTATTTGATTTAGATTATACAGCATACACAATTGCTAAAAAATTTTATCCAAGAAATACATTTCGATCATTGCTTGTTTTTTCTTCTTCATATATTCTTTTAACTTTTTATACAAGGCCATTTTCAAATTCTTTTGAGTCAATAGTTTTTGCACTTTGTTTCTGTATTTATGTCAAGGGTTCTTCACCACAAATAAACAACTCAATTATTAAGGTAAAAAAGAAACATTTGGACGTATATACATATATATATATATATATATATATAAAATTCATTATTTATTTTATTGTTTCTTTAATTTATTTTATTCAACCAAATCAGAATTTAAAATATGATATATATATTTATTGATTTTAGGAGGCATTTCCAACAAATCTTGGGTTTCTTTTTGGCTGTCTTGTAGCCTTGGGAATATTTACTAGAATAACGTTTATTTTATATACTTTTCCGATTTGTTTAGCATTTATTCATCATATATTTTTCACTCTAAGGATTCAAAATAGGAATTGGTATGTATGTATTAATGAATGAAATGGAATTTATTTATATATTTATTTAATAATAATAATTATAATAATAATAATAATAATAATTTCCTAAGGCTGGATAAATTATTTGAATTGATTCCAACAGCATTGGGTTTTTCATTGACAACAATAATTTGTGTTCTAATTGATTCTTTATATTTTGGTGTATTAAAACTTACTCTAGAAGGAAAAGTATTATCATTAGATAATTTATTTCTATTAATTTTAAATAATTATAAGAAATTAGCTGGTATTGATTGGAATGTAAGTAATAATAATAATAGCAATCATAATTGTTGTCACAATAATATTAATTATTATTTATTTTCTTTAGGGAAATCTAATTTTTACACCATTGAATAATATAATTTATAATCTTGACACCAAAAATTTAGCAGAGCATGGATTACATCCAAGATATCTTCATTGTTTCAATTTTTTCTTATTATTTGGTCCAATTACAGTATTGACAATGAAAGATTTTTACACCACCATACTTAATATAAGGTTTTCATCTAGGAAAACATATAAAACTGGTAATAAGGAATAATTATAGATAGGTGAACTTATGAATCAACCTATTTATTGATAGCATATTGACCAAGATTAATAAAAATAATTTTGGATGAAAATTAGGGCCATTCACCATATACATACATTTATAATACAATATTTATTAATTTTGTTTCTTTTTTTAAATAGTTATTGTTTATGCAGGATTGTGTGGATTTATTTCTTTGTCTTTGATTCCACATCAAGAATTAAGATTTTTATTACCACTGATAATACCTGTCATTATAATTCCATCTGATAGAATTCACATAATTCCTAAGCCTTTCTGGGTAAACACTTCAATTAACATACATTTATTTATTTATTGAAATATAAAAAATAACTTATTTATTTATTGTAATATAAAAAATTTAGTTTGTTTGGGTGGTGTTTAATTTAATATTTGTTTTAATCTTTGGCCAACTTCACCAAGCAGGAATTGTACCAATAATGCAAAAATTGCAATATCAATCAATTGGCTTTAGAAGTTGTGAAGAATTTAATAATAATAATGATTATTATTATCAGTGTGAAATAGGGGACAAGATTATTTTACCAGGTAATAAATAAATAAATACAATTAAAATAACAACAACAACAACAACAACAATAATAATAATATTTTTTTTGATTAATTAATTAGAAATAAATTCTTCAAAAAGATTTATAACAAATATTATCTTTTATAAAACTTATATGCCACCAAGACATTTACTTGGATATCATAAATCCTGGAGAAGTAAGTTATTCTATAAACATAAACATTATAAGGTTTATAAACATTTATAAAATTAAACTGATTATTGTTGTTGTTTATATAATTGTTGCTTATCCAGATACAAATGTTCATGTCAATGTTTTTGATTTAGCTGGTTCACCATTGAAATTGTTAGAAAATTTATTAAATCAAAAAATTGCAATTAATAAAAAATCAATTATTCAAAATAATAATAATAATTTGAAAAAAAAAATAATATTTCAACAAAATAGTTCTGCTTTAAACCATTATGAAAGGTATGACGTTATATTAAAAACATAAATTAATAAACATTAAACATATATGCATATATATCTATTATAATTGTATTTAATTATTTTTATAGAACATTATTAGTAACTCCTTCCACCACAGATTTATCAAAATTATTTGTAGATAATGATGGAAGAAATGATGAAAAATCAAAAACCATCACTACTACTGACATCAACAACAAGAATAAATTGGAATTGGAATTAATTGATCAACACTGGCCACATCTAAATGCTGATGATATCAACAGATTATTTAGTCATGGAATGTATTTGGATGTATATCTATTAATGTTAAAAGAATAAAAACATAATTCTAAATTTTTTTATGATAATGTTTTAATTTTATTATAATTTCCGAAATATATTATTTTTAGAAGTAGAAAATATTAATTAAACAATAATGTTGTCCCCCAGTAAAACAAACCATCAATCAAATCATGAATACTTTTTTCTGTATCTTTGAAGCAAAAGTGCCTTAATAGTTTTAAAACTTTCAATAATCTATAAATAAAGCAGAAAGAGATTGATTATAGTATTGATCTTACCAAATTAAATAATTAACTATTCTGTTTTTTACTTAATTGATAAGATCAATGTCAACCAGTCCAAGGACAATGATAGGCCAGACAATTATAATTGGGTCATAGGTACTATTATATATGGGGTGAATTAGAATCAGGTGATGCTGAATTAATATGGCAGTGTAAAAATGAATTATGCTGTAATGCCAAATTGCCAAATTGTCAAATTGATCTTACTACAATTTTGCTATGGAAATTTATTTATTAACAACTTTAACAACATAGGTAATTAGACAAATTTTTTTATTTATCTGTTATAATTTATAAAAAACTATCAAATTATTTTATAGTAATTTTATTTTATACAAGTATATACAAAGTTTTCACAAAGACAAGCTGTTTGTACAATTGTTGAGTTTTATTAATTGAATTTATCAGGAAATTTTTTCTGACACAGATTTATGTAATTATTATTAAAGCTCCTAACAGGTCAGGTTAAATGTCAATCCGAATGTTTTAAAGGCAAACTCGAGACCGACTCGAAATTTTCGGGTTGATTTCGGTTTAATAAGAAAATTTTGTGATTCAGATAATAATAATTAATTAAATATAAAGTTATAGTGGTTTAAAGGTTGCAATTTGTGTTATGCGTGACGCAAAATACAATTCATGATGCAAAAGATGTAGGACACAATTCGTGACGCAAGACGTAACTCAAGGAGATTCGCGATTCAAGCCGTAACTCAAGGGCAATTCGTGATGCAGGGTATGATTATATAGAGGTCTGAATGTACTTTTAATTAAAGTTTAAATTGTTTTTCAAACTAAAATTCTCCTTTAATATATTATTTACTGTATAATGAAACAAAATCAAGGAAATCGTGGAAATCGCGGAAGTCGTGGAAGTCGCGAAAGTCATGAAGTTATAGCAGTTGGTAGAGGTCGCGGTAAAAGTCATGAAAATAATGAAGATATCGATTCTGTTAAAGGTGACCACGCTTCACTTTTCTCAGAAATCATTTTACAAGGTCAATGTGAAAAAGAATATAAAAAAAATAAAGAGACAAATAAAAAAACATCTAGATACTGAAGCAAATGATAATTTAAATAAATTTTCAGGTAATTTTTTAATTTATAATATGTAAACTTTTTTAATCATTATTTATCAGAAAATAATCCAGAGATTCATAACGAAAAGGCAAAGAAAATCTATAATTTTTTACTTAACTGGCTGGCTTATGAGTAATCTTGTATGCGTTGCTGGAGTGATCTTTTTCTTTGGTTTGTTCGAAGAAATTATAAGTGTGCACCTTTAATTTTTTTTCTGATGTCTTTTATTGATTGGATGGAGACGAATCATCCAATGTATACATGAAGTCGAAACCATTTCGACCATTTGCAGATCTGGTCGGAATAGGGTCGAAATAAGGTCGAAACTGATTTTTACTATGTAGTTGCCTCAAGTCGAAACATTAATTGTTTATTGTTGTTTTTTATTATCACAAAGCATTAGGATATTGTATTATAATCTCTTTTCACTGAAGGAGATTTCAAGCATGTTTATACTTTTTGAAGTATTATAAATAATAACACGACTTTTTACATGATTTTGTCCAATAAAATAAAATAGAATAAAATAGAGTGATGACTAATTGATGATTTACTAATGTTAAATGTCAAAAATGGGCTTGGTGATTTGTTTAACTTTTTTTTGAAAAGGATCATCAGCTAAAAGTAGTTAATAATCTGCTATAAGTGCTACTTGGCATTGTTGTAACTTCTTTAAATATTAACAATCTTCAAAGTTTAATAAACCTAAAACTAAATTATAATCCTACCAAGTCAAACATCAGTGAAATATATTTCTTGTTACTTACAAACTATATTTAAGTGACAATGTTTTTTATTAATTAATATAATTTTTTGAAAAAAAAAATAGTTATATACCAGCTTACAAGGATTTTTTCATGCAGGTAATGTTAGTAGAAGTGATCATTATTTAGTTCAAGGTATGCATTACAGAATTAATGAAAACGACTAATGGCGATGAAATATCTCAAGAGTCAATTCCAAAGGTAGAATCTATTCAAGGCTGGATTTCACATTGAAACATCAAACAAGCTATAGATCAGTATTTTATTGTCAAATAACTTTTGTTGTCTGACAATTTAAAAAATTTACTATTACGTAAAAAAAAATTTTTAAAATTATATATAAAAAATTGAAAATTTTTATACCTAGAATCCGTAGCTTCTCTAAATTTATTTTATAATAATAAATGAAAAGATTTTTGCGTCTATGGTTTTTTACAAAACGTCTTAATAAGAAACCCGATACAATAAAAGGACCTTTACTGCTGAGATCACAATACGCTTCTTTGTCAAAAAATATGTCAGGGTTTGCTTTTAATCACCTGATAAACAATGGTCTCGTATAATGAATACCTCAGTGGAAGCGATTTCTTGAAAATTATGCCGAAGTTCATGTATTACCCCAAGCCTTGGAGTTTCTCAAAACAAAGTCTAGTTGATTTACACATACTATACGTAATATAGCGAATTAATTAAGCAGCAAAACCCAAGAAAGAGTGCTTTGGTATATAGTAGGTTTGTTGATCATAAAACATTATATAGGTGGTACATTCCACATATAGTAATAATAGAAGTTACACGATACGTTCTTATGACATCATCTTTGATGTTTTTTATTATAAAAGTTTTCCGGTGTGGGTAAAATTTTGAAAAAAAAAAAAAAAAAAAAATGAATTCAATATTAAATAAATACCCTTCAAATCAAATCAAATTTTTACGAATTTTTAATTCGAATTCGTTAATCTTGACAAGATCTCTTAATAATAAAGCAAATCAAAAAAAACCTCAAAACACAAGAATCCAAGATAATAAAGAAAATAAAGATAACAACGAAAACAACAATGATAATATTAATATTGGACAAAAAAACAATAAAACAGAACAGTCAATTTCAGGAACAACCGATCAAATAGCTCATTCTAATACTGCCTACGATAAAGATAATACTGAGCCAAGTAAAGAAATTGAAGAAATGAAAAAATCAAATCATCAAGTATTTATTATTTTTAACATGCTTATAATAATTCTAAATCTTTAATTATTATTAATTATTATTTTGTATTATATAGGATTCGTTGGATTGGAGTGGGGCAAACTCAAAAATTAGTGCGCAGAAAAAAAAGCGGTCTTCACAACCAGTTGGATAATTAATAATAATAATTAATTAAAAAATAAATTATAAATTATTATTTTTTTTTTTTTATAATAATAATTGATTCCAATAATTCGACCCGCCTATATTATTTATATAATACTCTTACAATTTTTTATTGACAAAATTACTAAAACATGTCTTCATCTAGCGCAACAGTTTATCTTCGCCTTAGTGTGCGATTTTAAACTATACAACGGAATTGGTTTAAAATTCAAATGGAAGAAGAAATTGAAATTGTCGATGAAAACGTAAACAACATCTTAAATCGTTGCAAAATATTATTATAAAGTGCAAATTAAATGTCTGCTTTGGTAATAAAATCAAGTTACTGTGTAACTGAACAAAGAACAAAGATAGAAGATAATTTCGCACGTGGTAATAAACGGGCAATTTATACCACTTTGTACTTCACACAATAAAGAATAAAATGATGAATATGAATGTATATAATTATAATGCGATTGAATAAGTGACATATTATCAGTGAGAATATCTTTCATTATACTTATTACTTAATGTGATGTTTTCTTGGACAATAATTCGAGTTGGACATTTGCGCAAAAAAATAATGAATTTTATTAAACTTTTTTATTTTATAGATTCGATTAAACAAATCGATCTGAAGCTTCTTCTTCCAGTAAGATGAGCCTGGCCTACTTTTTTCATACAAGTACTTTTTTGTGATTTATTATGAAGCAATCATCCTGACATCAAATTGTAGTTTGTAGTACCATCATCAATCATAATGCGGATGCAATTTTTGTAGTAAATTTTTGCATGGTACGGAATATTGTAAGGGAGATTTAAAGCACGCGTGCGCCTTTTAAAGTCACGTGACATACTTTCCCTCGGTCTAAAAAAAAAAATTTATTTATTTAATATTGACCCGCCCGCTTATATGTATAATTTCTATAATAATAAGGAGTTACCTCCTCCAAATATTGCTCTCCGACTCCCTAAGGAGTCGTAGAGACGACAATTGGTATAGTTTGCAATTAGCAATAATCTGGCCTCGGATGAATCCTCACTGGCGCAGATAATGCCCGTGCACAAAGATAAAGAATAAACAAAATGTGAAATTGGTCGTATTTATGATTTTGCACTGATTTGGATGAAATTATGGGATTATTGTGATCACAAAATCATACTAAACCTTTGAATATACTAATTGATCAACCAATCATATAGTGTAGTACATGCAATCTAATAAAGAAAAATGGCTGTAAAGAATTTTTTGGTTGAATTCCAAAGATTTAACAAGCTGTGGTGGTCATTGTTGGCAAAGGATATAAAAAATGATACCAAGTAACTAATAAATTAGTAAATCAGTGAGTGAATTAATAATAATATAATCATTATCATTTCCACCTACATCATTCCAACAGTAAAACCTGGGCGTCTTGTAAAGAAAATAGATAAATAAATTTATTTAATTTCACTTCCAATTAAACAATAGATTTGTTTTTTGGAACTTCATTAAAGCAAATACGAGAAGGTTAAAGAACTAGGTTAAGTTGATTTATATAGAAATAATATCTAATTATCCATATACACACATATGCACATATTTAAAATAAATTTTATTAAAACTTTTATTTTTTGGCTTTTGTAATAGAATATTCTAATGGTCATGTTAGAAATAAGAGTTAAAATTTTCTAGAGAAGTTACAACTGTTATTCGTGGTACAATAATTCCTGCTAAACTTTTAATTATTCCTGTCAAATTGGCAAATCACACACTGTGCCTTCTAAAGTTAAGGTAAATGTGAATCTGTGGTGTGTCTTCTTTTTCCTGCTTCTAGAAGTAGTGGAATTTTGTTGCAGCACCTACCCAAAAAAATTTTTGAAACTTACTGGTATCACTCATTGATTATCATACTACATTTTTTTGGATAATTTTGTTAAGGCCACTTATGCTACAATTGGCAATACATGACACCTGACTTATGGGAAAGATGTGATCTTTTTTAAGATATACACATATATATTATATTATATTAGAAGGAAAAATATTTTAATAACAACAAAATTTCTACAAATAAACAGCATCACATAGTAGTCATTGAAATAAATTCTGTTGATTTTTATAATTTCAATCAATTGGTGATTCATGTGACAAACAAGAACAACTACGAATTAAATCGCATTTCATCAAAAATCTAAAATAAAAATCAAAATCAAAATAATAAAAGACTTTATACTTGATACCTTTATTTATCTCGATCAAAAAAACTCTCATTCAATCTGTAAGAAAGTAAATTAGAAGAATTAAATGAAATTAATATTAAGAGAACTTTTTCAGGCATGGTATTCGATATAGATTCAATAAGGTAATTATTTGACGCTAACATCATCGTCAACTACTCATGATGGGTATACAAGTAACAACCACCGAAAAAAGGATAACCGAGTGGATCAACTAATTAAGCTAAAAGAAGAGGAAAATAAATCTTAACAGCTGAGCACGATAAAGTACTTATGAAGTTCTTGAAGTTCATTATGAAATAATATAAAACTCTGTATCCGATCACTAAACGATAAATTTAATTGAAAAGTTAAAAGCCATTTTCAACTAAGTTGACGATGATGACGATGATGATAATAACGATTATATCTTATTTTAGAAGATATAACTGATATTGGATCTGTGCAGAATAATGACAACTGATACGATTAATCAAATAATTAGCAACATAACAAATGCCAAAAAAAAAAATAGATCTTTTAATATTTAAAAAAAAATTTTTTTATTTATTTTGGATTTACTTTATGACAATCAGTCGATAACGACAGAGAAATAATGTAATTGTTATTGTACATCCAATATTGCGTGATCTAAATAGCCGAAAGTGCATTATTACTTCTTTATATGATAAAGTAACATTAAAAATCATCCATACACAAAGCTGATCATCAAATAGAAAAATTAAATGAGATGTGGCAGGTAATTTATTTTTATATCTGGACAATCATTTATGGAATATGGAATTAATAATACACTTATCATTCTTTTATTTAATACAACGGGCTCAATTACAGGATTATAATATCAAAAAGAATTTTAATAACAATAATGACCAAAGTGAATGTTCTGATCTTTTGTATATCAAATATAAACAACCAGTACTATTCTATCACCAGGATTCCGATTTTAATACTTGCTTGTTGACTGGATAAATAGGCTCTCTCGCTTTCCTTTGGTACTGTTTTTAATAAATCATTTAAAATACTCGTTGTATTTCTGTACAACTTTACATGATCACCATCTTTTTGTGCTGTTACTTTCTTTCCTCTAGAGAATCTGATCAATATGATTATTTTATCGTTTTAACTATCTTTACTGTGTCATCAAATTTGAGCTTTTTCGTAGAGGATGTTGTCAATTAAATCCTAGTGAAATAAATAGAGAATTAATCTCCAAAAAATTCGATGTTTTAAAATTCACAACTGATATCAGTATGTATTCTAAATAACCTTGTAATTATATAAATGATAGTATCAATAGAGTGATTTCTGATTCGTTTGAAACTGACGCCCCAGAAAAAAGTTAACTCACGTGTGTGAAAGTACTCGGTCATAATTCTCAATTTAATTATTTGTCCAATCTCGATTGAACTATATTATATATGTGTGTGTTTTTTTTTATTAGCAACTTCTAGGATTCTGAATAAAGAATCCATGTATGTTTTTCCTGACTTTTTTCGATATAAATGTGGTAATCAAATTTCCCCAAAGGTTTTCACTTTTGTTCGCTACACGGGCCGAATTTATCAAATAATTTAAAACTTTTTGACTTCAATTAGAGAAATCGTAAATAAAGTTTAAAGGTAACGATAATATTATTGTTAATGAAATGTTATTTGAGGTCTACTGCCTACAACAGGTCGGGTTCGGGTTGAGCTTGCAACAATTATGACTCGAATTTAGAGAATTTGGGTTAAAATTTTATAAAGCTGGCCAAATCAGGTACTATTCCATCATCCATTCTGATAATTGAAAGTATGGTTGAATTAAAAAATGTGTCAAAGAAGTTTACCTTCAAATCGACAATAAACTAGCAATAGGTACCCTATTCATGGAAAAAAAAGAAAAAGGAAGTTTTGTGAAGGAAAAAAAAGTTATTTTGTGAAAACAGCAAAAAAGTCATAATGTTAGTTTGATGGAATCCCAAAAGTTTCTGATATAAACAAAGAATTATTAAATTGGTTAAATGATGTGCCGAGGAAGCAAATGTGGGGCCAACTAAGCCATAGATGTCTTTCGAAAAAAAGTTTGATGAGATTAAAGTTATTAATTAAATTCATATTCGATAAATTCATTATCGTCTAAATCCTTGATTTTTCAGGACCAGTTATATTAAAATTCTATTTGATAATTTTATATTCATAATTAATAATAAAATAAAATCTCGATAATCGATAAATTTCATATAACTCTCTTACTTTTTTAGTATATACCCGCCCGCCATATTATGTCTTGTGTAACCATTACAATATGGATTAACAGTGTGAATCTCGGTTTGGGCAATTGGCTATTAATTAAATCGAGATTTTTAATTAGTATCCGTTAAATCAAGGTACGCTAAATCGTAGAGGTCTTACCCGCCGAATATTCATTTATTCGCTTTATAATTAATTATCATTAAATGAATAGTCGGCGAATATTCATTGTTAACAAAAAATTTTAAATTTATTATCATTTTACATCTATCAAAATTATCGATATTTTTTTTTTCAAAAAAAAAGCAACCTTTTCAATTCTTTTTGATGTCGTTGTATTTCCACAAGAGTATTATATAGCTAGATATAGTAGATTCGTATCAGAAGCTTCGGAAATATTAGCTTGACAAATAGCTCCTTTGGATTTTATCCATCATCTTTTACAATTTCAGTTACTTCCATCAAGTTCCATATCCAACTTAACACCTTTGCTTTTCTTTTCTTCAAAATATAAACAGCAGAAAACTCCTCCCCTCTCATTATTGTATTACTTACTTTCGCCTATTATAGCTCTTCCACTATTTTAAGTGAATGCAAGTGAAATAATCAATTTAATTAATAGAGATAACAGATTAGTTTATTTGGACGCGAGAAAATCTCATCTCGATTCAGTTACACGAGACGTTAGTTATACTTTTAATTTATTATATTTGGTCACCGAATATTCAATGAACATTGTTTGTTTATTAAGTGCAACTCTACTAAATTGAGATTCATTGTGTAATAAAAAATCATGCAACCATTAAAATATGGATAATTACTGTCACGTAGTAAATTCAATTTTTTCCCAAAAAAATAATTCGATATTTCAAGTTAAAGCGTAAAAAAATACAGATGATAATAAGATTTCGATTGACAAAAAAAAAGAAACAAAAAACAATTTATCTTTCTTGTAATACTTTGTCTACTCTACGAAATTTTCATTGGCAATTATTTAAATTCTATTTAGACAACATGAAGTGATGAATGATTTTATTACAAATGAATGAATCGTTTTAGTATTTGTTATAATTATTCATCGAAGATCTTATCTTTTTATAGAAAAAATTCTAGTCATACATTCATTTCCTATTTTCATTATATCATCATATCGAACGACTCAACAATGGCGTAATTCGTTGTGCCAGACCTATGAATTGAATGGGCTTGGCTGTATTCAACAACTTGTTGAGTGTAGTTTGGAAAATCAGCCGAATAAGAACTGGTGAGGCTCTAAAGGTCGAACCGCAAATGTTTCTTTGACTTTGTTTCACGCTTATATTATTCTGTCGCGTAAAAGGTCCCTAGAATCCTTGCACATTATAAACTTCAGTAGTAGATGAAAAAATTCTAAATATTTGGAACATTTAGCAGATGAAATGTTGAAACTTATTTATCACCTTGTTAATAAATTCTACGCACTTGTTTCTATAAACTTGGAGATATCAGTAATATAAGAAGTAGCAAATAATTTAAAACAGGATTCTCGTATATAGTAACTTGTAATAATTAGTAAAGATGAATTAACTGAAAACAATCCAAAACTAATCCAAGATCTTTCTACAGACTGAATCATACTGATGTCGAGTAACAAAAAAAAAAAAAGAAATCAAGGACTAATTCAATATTATCACACATACACAATAAACATATGATAGTGCAAACCATACTGGCGACTAGGTTCATTATCCCTCAACTTAAAAAAAGAAAATCCTTTAATTAAAAACAAAATGTGATCAAATCTTTAATATATAACTTTCAATCATAAGAGATGCCTTTGGACAGAAACAACTGGGGTAATTAATTCAAAAGTAACGATTTTTCAACAGATTTAAAATCATCAGATATTAAAAACAATATAGGTTTGTTTGTTAAATAATCTTGAAATAAGATAAATGATTGATCTTGTGACGAAGGATTATGAAGTAAATCATTTATCCTGTGATAGAAGTTTATAATGTAAATGATTGATCTTGTGATGAAAGATTATGAAGATAAATTAAATTAAATTTTGTTTAACCCATCGTTTTCTTTCCCTTCGTTAAGTTATTAGTGCCTTTTTCTTTTTGCATATATCTTTTATCTTGTTGATAATATTTGTATGCTATTCTATTAATCTATCTCCACAATTTTGAACCTGTTATTTTCAAGAATATCATTTCCCACACATCGTCTTTTGTTATTCATCTTCATTCTTCTTGTTCCCTCAAACTGCCAAGCATTTGCTCACATCCTTCTAACTTTGCCCCAAATTGACATGCTCCTTCTTCACCACATCCAACTCTTTCCAATGAAAAAGTTACAAGTTGAAAATTTTTAGTCTATTTGATCACGTTTAATAAAATGCTTGAACCCCCTAATTCTTTCGAAACATATAATCATTCATAATCACACCTCAATTATATCACAGCACAATATCAACTCTATTCTAAAAAAGAAATTTTAAAGGTGATAATGATGATTTAAAATGATTGTATGTATGATGACCTTTATAATACTACATTATATTTAGGAAAATTGCTCGGTAAAAAGCTATGCTTGGTACATCATTTCACAACATTGGTAATAAAATAGTAACAATAATGATGATGATAATGATAATAATGATAAAAGGTGATGAATGAAGAAGAATGAATGAATGTTGTATAAATATGCATAAAAGTATTCATTGTTTCAATTATTATTATCAATTATTATATTATTTACACTATTATTCTTTCATCAATTAAATCGTTCAATTTTCTCTGCAATTATACAAATTAAAATCATTTATTTCTACAATTTTAACAAAATAAAACCAAATAAACAAATTAATTAAAGCCGGAATGATTAAAAAAAACCTTTCCAAATTTAGATTAATATGCAAATTGAAATTTTCCTTTCGATACTTTTCATGATATTTTCATTATATTTTCACAGTCTTAAATTAATTTGCAAATCCACTCAAATTATTATTATCATCCTTCAAAAAAATTTTTATTTTATTTAACACACTTTTATCGACTTTTCCCCACTTTTTTTAATAATAAGGAACAAATTTATTTTTCCTCCCCACAACTAAAAAAATTCCCACTTTGTTAAGTGTAAATTTTTTTCATACATATATGTTTTATTTACTTTATTTTTTTTTAATTCTTCCTCTTTGTTTCTCTGCTTTATTTCTGGTTCTCTTATTATTCTTCTTTTTATTATTCTGCTCTTTCATCTTATCAATACTTATTCGGTTTCAAAATCTTATGTCACCGATTTTTGGCAATCCATTTAGAACACCTTCTACTTCAAAATATACACTGCCCTTCATGAAATTTCTAAGTCGAACAACACCAGCACCAAACCAAGTTGCTTCTCCACATATATATTTATCAAGTTCTAATGGAAAAAGCTCGGAAAAAACAAATGATTGCATTTATGCAAAAATACTAGTAATATTAACACAAGAATTTGGTGACGACTTGCTTGCTTTATTTGCTCATGGCTCAAGAATATACGGTAACGCTTGTCCTCACAGGTATAAAAAAATTATTTTTTTTTTTTTTGATTAATTAATTAATTAATTAGTGAATTTATTTGTTTATCTATCCTGTAATTTAATCAATCAATATTAATTGTTAACAATTTAAAATTTTAATTTTCAGTGATGTAGATGTGGATGTTTTAATAAAACCACATAAAAAATGTCGTAGAAATATAGTCATCGATGGATTAGAGGTATATAATATATATATATATATATACGTATATTTTTTTTCTTGGTAAATTAGAAATAATTATAATAACAATAACATGTATATATGCATTTGATAGATTGAAATGTTTATTCACCCACCAACACATATACGCAATGTTTTAAAGAATGATCCAACCGGCATATTTTTAAAGTGTTATGCATTTGGACGTATAATTTATGATCCAAGCAATATACTTCCAACATTTCAAAATTTAGCCAAAAGGCGTTGGGAAGCAGGACCACCAGCACTAGAGGATAAAGATAGATGGAGACCAAGGTATGAAATAGCAGATTTATTAAGAGATTTAGAGGACATAGACTATGTACAAAATGAAGCAACGGCGCATTTTCTACTGGTTAAACTCGTTGAAAGATTAGTGAGGATACAAGAAAGGTTATGGAATAGATGGCCAGAAAAATTAAAAAGATGTGTTGAAGGATGGGAAACTTGGGATGATAGTGGTGGTAAACTTGCAAAAAAAGTATTAAATTCAAATGTCAAATGGAATGAAAGATTGATGTGTGCAAAAGATTTGGCAAAATATGTTTTAGGTCCAATTGGAGGAATTATGCCTACAGAATGGAATATGGAATGGGAGGAATTACAAGAATCATATAATCCTTTTACAATACCAAATATAATACCGAAATTAGAGATGTGGGCATAACTACATCATATATAAAAATAGATTGGTAGATAAATAAATAGATAATGCGTATACATTAATAAGAGATGAACAAAATGAGACTTGTATGGCAAAATTTTTCATTGAAAATTTAGAACAATATATTTTTTATATATAATAAATATATTATCTGTTTATTTATTTATTTATTATAAATATTTATATATATTTTTTAGTAGTTATAGATTTCTAATAGTATATTTTTTTTTATTTCATTGATTTAATTATTATTTCCTCGCTCTTCTCCTTTATTTAATTAATTATTACATATTATTATTATCGTTAGGAGAAAAAAAGGGAACTGTATAAAACAATTTTTTGATTTTTTTATATTTTCTTGTATAGAAAAACTAATTTTTATTTTATTTTATTTTTTTATTTTTTATTTTATATATTATTATCGTTTTTAATTACTACTACTATTATTATTCTTGTTGAACACGAATATTAATATTTTAATATTTTATTGTTGTATTGATGGAGAAAATATATCACATAATATAATGATTATTTTAAATTTAATTTTTTTGTGGGTAAAAAAATAATATTCAATTGATTCAATTGATTCAAAGAAGGAAAATAGCTAACTTGTAGATCACCAAATTTTCTCTCTCATATGTATGTATGTGCATTAGTTATATTTATTATTTTGTGTAATAAATATTTCTTTCCTCTTGATAATAACTTTTTAAATCTTTTTAAAAATGTTTAAATTAATTTATTTTAGATCATATTTCCTAATTAAACTTTTTTTAAAAATGACGAAATGAATGATATTGTTAACATTACATTAAACCAAATATAGTAAATATTAAACAATTTAAAGTTAAAATTATTATAATCCGAAACCGTAAAACAGCTAATTATAATGAATTAAATTAATCATTCATTCATTGATAAAAAAATTTTTTAATAAAAAAATTTATTATTCGATCAAATTGTAAATCATTATAATATTAAAATTATAGGAATGGAAAGAGCTTCCTTTATATTATAAGCTAACTGCTTGCTTCCTACCAGAATCGAACTGGTGCCTTCAGATTATGAGACTGACGCGCTAACCACTACGCTAAGGAAGCTATTTCGGGGAAATATTTTTATTTTAGTTATTATTATTAACTTTAAAAAGAAAAAGAATCAATTTCACATAAAAATTATATTTATTTGAACATTTCTTCTTTTTATTAGCCATTTTTATACATTATAACAATATATATTGATTAAAAACAACAAAGTTCTTTGAATAAATAACAATTAAAAATAAGCATGCATTAATTTTATATGGATTGTTAATTAATTTCACAAGCAATGGTATCGATCGATATTAATTAATACGCCAGACATTAATATTATTATTTTAGAAAAAAAAAAATTAATTATACAAAGCAACATATTAATATTGATTGTAACATATCATACATATGCTCGCCCAGATATCATCTGCTAATATTTTAGGATCATTATAATAAAATGACAGCTTGAACTATAATTGCTTTGGCTCTTTTTTTACTAGATTGAATATTCCAGAACCAACAAACACACCATCACATCCAAGTTGCGTCATCATTGCAGTATTTGCAGGTCTATATGTAAATAACAATAAAATAATAAGATTTATAATTTTAAACATTACGCTGCTACACCATCAGCAGAAAAATTCAACGCTGGAAGCCTTTTCAATTCGGCAGTTTCCTTTAATAAATGATAAGGTACCTGATTTCTTTAGTATAAATTACTCATAAATGAAGTCTTTTTGATTTCACTTGAGATGTATTTACTCTGCCACATTTTCCGTTCCTGCGCTGCATCTACAAAATGCTTCATCTAAATTCTTGCTTCACGTACAAATGGAACTTTGTAATTATTTTTGTTAATGTGATGTTGTTCGTCAGCTGGTGTAAGCACTTCAGATTCATCAAGGTAATATACATTAATTGTTGCTTCTAAAATCTATATAATTAATTATTTAAATGATATACTTTATATATATAAAAAAAAAAGAAAATTCTTATTTGGGCTTCAACAAAATGCCGAATTACTACACTGGAAATTGTGACTGTTGCTTTTATCTCCTTTATCATTTTTGGATCAGACATTCAGTAACTCCAACTAATAATATGAATATTTATGAATGTATGTTATTACTTTTTTAACAAAAATATTTCATATCGTCTAAATGCAAGGCAAACCTTGTTTTCTCTACCAGTTATCACACGTTTTAAAGCCTTGACAGCTACTGCACCAGCTCCTTCGACAATGCTTGCTTGTTCGACATTCCGTAATTTAAATAAACATATTTATTGTAATTAACTTTTTTTTTTTAAAAAAAAACAAATAATTGATCTAAAACAAGACCTGCTTTAACTTTGAAGGTAACTTGAACATGATGATCATTCCATTGGGCTGTTTTTTTCAAATTTAGAATTTAATGATGGCGTAGACATTTTAGGTGTTGTGTCATGTTTCGGATATTATTTGTTTTATTTGTCAATAAGATCTATAAAAAAGGGCTGAATTCTCGCCGTCGTCTTCTTTATTATTATTATTATTATTATTATTATTATTATTGTGACAATAAATCACATCACATGTCAAATTATTTTTATTTTATTATAATAAATAAATAGATATTTTATTATTCTAAAAATTTTAATTTAATCATTAATGTGAAGGTAATGTGTTATATTACGACCAAATCGACGTCAAGTCTTTTTATTCATTTGAGAAACCTATGTGAATTATTTTTAACTTACAAATTTTTAATACGGCCTTTCACAGCCATTAATTTAACATGGCCATTAGCTTGACATATTCTTTAATTCGGCATGCTAATACTCTTTTTACCCTTTAATTCAACACAGCCTTTTTAGTTCAAAATAATATTTAATTCAACATACTCTTTTACTTCATAGCCTCTTATTCAACACGCCCTTCAATTCGATATTTAGCCTCTTTTGGGAACGCGTCTAATTTACCTTAATTTATTTTTATTGGTTGCACGAGAAATCACATACAAATAAGGTAAAGCTATACAGTTCACTCTTTCTATAACGGCCCTTTCTTTAATGGTCTCCATTCTATAACGCACTGTGAATCAGAACCCAATTTTTACTATATTAAAACCTTACTCTATAACGGTTTTCTTAATTAAATTTCCTATAGTGTATAACGGCTGCCTCTGAAAATTCTCTCATATGTTTTATATGTTGTCTATAACGGCCGACGATCATGATCTGAGGTAACCATTACTAAATTAAGAAATCCGGTGTGTCACGCTCAATTATAATTCGAACGCGCTTATTGTCACAATACATTTATTATTGTAAGCATAAATACATTTATCAATATTACTTCATATCTATCATCATCCTTTGCAGTTACAATATATTATTCGTATTTGAAAAAGAAGAACATCATTATAACTTACTCTATGACTAATGTTAATTCATAAATTTTGCTGTAATAATTATTTGTAAACATAACATAAGAAAAGTCAACCTCCTTATGACTTCATAAACATTTCAAAACGTATATAAAGACCATATTTTACTCGACCAGCAATCAGAATTAAATGTGGACAATTTTAAATTATTAAAAAAATTGATTTTAACAATCCACACTGGATAACTTTTTTAACATTGAATAAGTAATAGTTTAGTTTCATTAATTTCATTTATTTTTTAAATATATTTTATAAACATCAATGGTTCAACAACAAAGTCAAAAGAAAACTAAACAACAATACAACATCAATAATTCAACAAAGACAAAAAAGAAAATTAAATGTTAACACCTTAACACCACTACCATCCACCATTAATAATAATAATAATAATAATAATAAGAACAATAATAACAACAATACTATTATTATTGATGATGATGAAGGTGATAATGCAATCAATAGTACACTCAACCCCCTCTAAGTGCACCCTCCTTGGGAACATATCACAATTTCTCATGAACATGCATTTAGAGAGGGTGTGCATATGGTTGTTTGCCAAAACTCCCCTGGAAATCAATCAGCAGAGTTTCAGCAGGTAACACACTAATTGTTTGTTAGAGTTTCGGCAGAGTTTTGCATTTAGGGAATTTGACAATTAGCAGAGTTTCAGCAGGTTACACGCTAATTGTTTATTAGAGTTTTGGCAGTCATTAAGAGGTTTTGGCAAGCAACCTTAGGTGTGCATTTAGAGGAGAGAAATAAATCCAAATTTACCAGATATTGATGATAAACAATTTCAAAAAGTAAGTACCAAGTTTAATTGCAGTACCTCTTCACTAATTACTTACAACAACTATTCTTTTTAAACACAACTCAGAGGTACCATTGAAAGAGTTACATAATGCTAGTTATCATTTAACTTCAAAAGAAATAAAAAATTCTAGAGATGTGTATGCTGAATTATTTGTCAATCAAGATCAAGGTTATGAGAATTTAGAAAGAACTTTAGGACCCTGATTCTTGATTTAAACAAAAAACGTTTATCAGAAGGTGATAAAAAGAATAATTTTAATCATTTTTATAGATAGGAAATCATACAAGTAGCATTACTTAACTAGCATAGATAAAAATCCTATCATTGGTTGTTATTGTATCACAAAATTTAAGTGAGATCAACCAATGAAAAATTGCATGTACTATTAATTTTTATTATATTATATTTCTACAAGGACACTGAGTAATTATAAATGAACTATCATCCCACAGCAAAAATCAACTAAATTTGTCATCCTGGGCCCCATTTTAAAAGCTATGGGCATGAAATTTTGTCAGGACATCTAGTTTTAAAATGGATTAAAAAAAATGTTTGATAGTGTTACTTTTTGCTTTTATATATTACGTGTAACCTCCTTAATGGGGGTAAAAACAGTCCAAAATTTTGTCTTGTTACACGGCCTTATCTTAAGTTCTATTCAATAATAAGATTTTGGTGTCAAAATATTTCCTTCATTAAAAGAAACATATTTTACTATGTTGCTGGATGGCATTGACTTTGATGAACATGTGGTTAGGTATTGTGTAAAGTTCCACAACATAGTGGGATGATAGTTCATTTATAATTATCCAGTGTCCTTTTCTACAGATCAGTAAGAGAACAATATGATTCAAATTCTATAGCTTATTTTCACTAAAATCTAAATATATTGATATACTTAACAATCATGCAATATAGAATTAATATATAGATACAATAATATTAGAATATTTGCCCATAAGCATTTTAATTAATTTTTGATTTAGCTCTTCATAAGCAGGGACTGCATTAATCTTTCTGTAAGTTTTATTAGCTTCTTGATTACCTTTTTATTAATAATGAAATAAAAAGTGTGACATTTTGATTTTTGACGCGCATTTGAGTATGTAAATCATCAACAAATTTGGATATTATGACCGAAATAAATGAAATTTATTGTAAACTTTGGTGCTAATAAAAGTCAAAACTCAAACTTGATCTTAAGGTAAAAAATAAAAATAGAATTATTTTGAAATGGTGTTGGTTAATGTGTGCAGCGCCACTTTTCTAAGTGGTACTTTTTCGATTTCACAATACTCTTTACATACAAATTGTAGATCTTTTTTTAAAATATGTGTGTAACGCAGATCTATCCATATTTTTAGCTATGCTTACTTGAGTGAAATTTTAAGAGGTTCATCATAAACATCTATAGTTATGCATTTTAAGAATGTTGGTATATATCAAGATCAAATAATTGGTTAAAATTATAAACTGCAATTATATATTATTAATTATATAATTTATTTTTAAAATAATGAAACCTTCATCTAGTAAAAACTGGTCACTCAAATTTACCAATTCAATTCATTTCAGAATCAATTAATGGATAGCGAGATTAATTGCTTAATTTCAAATTGCCTTTAATTCTTAATAAATATCATTTGCGTTTTAATAATAATTATCTTGTGAAAAAAAAGGTAGTTTCTACTTGCGCACTCCATGAAGGCTATGTCAGTGGCAGGGGAACGAAGTGATCACAGATTAATTAATTAATTAATTGCATTCGAGTTCTTCTAAGCCCATCTTATTTATGTCAAAGAAAAAAAATATTTTCCCCTCGAAAGATAGTTTTATTGAAATCTGACATGTGCACAAGCTTAATATTAATGTTAAGTTACATTCCATTTTTGAATTTTATTCCCTAATTGATTAATTTTAGCGCTGGCTTTTTATTAATCCTTTACAAATTTATTTTATTTTTTAAAAATTTATGCTTTTATGCCAAATGTGAATTGTATTACTACTATCTTACTATTATTATTACTTCTCTCTAATATATGTTAGCAATTAAAAATATTAAAAATAACATTGACTTACATTATTAACATATTAACATATCTGTGCTTTTGTGAAGCAAGTATTTTATTTATTCAATGACCAATAATCCATTTAAAAGATTTAATTATATTTGTCCAAATGCTATTATTACTATCGTTATTATCATTTTTATTTTTATTTTCATTTAAATAATTTTCTTTTTTCACATCATCATCATCATCACCAAATAATTCTTTCTTATTAAATATTAATCCACCAACCTTTATTTTACCATCATCGTCGTCGTTGTCGTCACTATTACTATTGATATTTTTCATATCATGATACATTTTGTTCAATTCGCCTTCGACAGTTAGATATATTCTTCTGACAGAATAAGGTGCAATGGTATTATATGATCTTAAACGATTATTTAAAGCTTTAATTGATACTTGAAAAAAATTAAAGTTAGATTGTTCCCATGCAGAATCAGCTTTGTTTGGTGCTAATTTATTAATTTTAGTGTATTTTAACCAAATTTCTCTAACATGCTTCCGAAAATTTTGAATTTCCTTATCTAATTCTGCTTGCATCTCTATCCACGCTGGTGCTGATCCTTGTCTTTGAATTAGTCGATTCCTAAAAGAATAATAATAGATCATCAGACATTTGAAAATTAAATAGAAAGTAAAAATCAGGAAAAAAAAACTTGCATGAAAAATTCTGTACGATCAATGAATGGATTCTAATTTATAAAATATAGTTTAACTAATTAGCATTTATTTATCAAATGATCTACAAAAAATAAATAAATATACCAATTCGCCAGGATCGGTGGGTATTTTTTTACCATGATATGGTAAATTCTTGAATTCTCCAGCTGCCATAGCCTTTTGAATACGAGATTCAACAAGTGAATTCCATCCTGATAAACTAACAAGTTTTTGTTGTTGTTGATGTTGTTGTTGATCATCACTATGATTATTCAATGAAGATGAAAATGAAGATGAAGAAGATGAAGAAGATGAAGATGGATGTTTTTTGTTTATACTGTAATCAATTGCTGCATCTTTTGCATTTAATAGACGTGTTTGTTTTGCTTCTTTTAATTTTTGGATTTTTTCTTTCTGAACAATATTGTTGTTTTTGTTGTTGTTGTTTGATGTGGCTGATGTCGATTTTTGTTGCAAGTAATTATATTTGTCATAATTATAATCAAGTGATAAATCATTTTTTATATTTGGATTAGTATTGTTGATATTGTTGTTGACTTTATTTATATTGTGAAAATCAATGTATTCTTTAATTGAATTTCTTTTGATTTTTAAAGGTGGATATTTATCTACTAACATTCTTAAAACTGTTACACTTGGTTCTTCTTCACCTTTCCATGGCAAGTCGTTTTCTTTTACAAAAGAATTTTTTAATATTGTGTTCATTGATGCAGGTGAATTTTTAAACTTTTCACCTTCAACTTTTTTATCATTGTTAATTCCATCATTCTCATTAAATATATTGTTTGATGAAAAATTGTTATTCTCGTCGTTGTCATTATTATTGTCATCATCATTTTTATTACTATTATCACTACTAATGGTGCTTTTTGTATTATAATATATATTTAATAGTAATAGTTTTTTATTATAAAAGTATTTTGAATGATTATTAATTAAGCTTTTATGATTATAATTTATATTATTATGTAAATTATTTATCATTTTTCATCTTCTTTGGGGCGTACTATAAAGAAAACCAGATTAGTGGCTAAATCCAAAAGTTAAAAAATTTGGTGACACATTAATAAGGCTTAAAAAAGTATGGCTGTGTAATGTAATAAAAGATAGATTAAATGAATCCAATAATTTGTTAGGAATCAAAATATCTATATAAGCACGTAAAATTCTCCTTCAACTTACTTCCTTATACAAAAATTAACTTTACATTCACTTCAAACAACAATTCGTAACAAATAAAATTTTTTAAAAAAATGAAATAAATATAATAAAATATAAAGACATCGACCGATAATGCCGAATTAGAAAGGTAGATTTATCTAATAATCTAATTAAAAATAAATATTAAAATATTAAATATAACGTAATTCTAATAATTATTATTTTTTACTTCGAAAAAAAGTGTGGTGTGCTCCAGACGCTCTATTTTTACTACAAGAAGCCATACTACAAGAAATAAATACTACAAGCATGAAGCCATTCAATATTTATTTTATTTTTTATAATTTTATATGTTATTAGCTTTTACAATCTATTTTTTATTTCAAGTACAAATTGTATTTTTTCGATCTTGTTTAAATGCAATAATAAATAGTATTTATTAATTCGGCAAATCGTAGCAATTAAATAATGTTAATTAACTGTTGAATGCCAAGATGTAATTATTAGCCAATTCTTTGTTTCGTTGCAAAAAAAGAACATAGTCAAATATAGACTACTGCGAACTTTTTACTAATTGCTTCGTAACAAAGTGATTTGTTACTTGCAGATCTTTTACCGACAACATGTTATTGGTCTGGTGTCGTGTGTAAACAAGCGATTAAAAATGTAATATAACTAGGAGGAAAGATTTCGGAATTCTTCGAATCGATAAAGAAAAATAGTAATAATGTTTTATCACATTGTTTTTTTTAATATTTAAATATATAAACTTACATCATAGTAAAATGAAACATTATCTTCTGATAAAAAAAGACTTGTTTTTTTACATACAAAAGCAAATCTCTATACTTTAAGAAGACTACAAAACTTGATCTTATCATCAGAAAACAGCCTTTCAGAAGGAGCAGACGAAGAAGGAATCGTTGTGTTTGTTGTTGAAGTGGTGGTGGAATTTGTAGATGAAGACAGTATGGATGTTGTACGTGAAAATTACCCAAAATTTTAATTATAGATGATTAATCTATTGAATAAAAATCGATTGCACAAAGGTCGATTAACTTACATTCTCCATCTTTAACGATATCCAAAGATGATAGATGTCATAACTACATATTAATACACTTACTTTATGAATTCCTACAAGAAAGAAAAAGATATGGAAAATGTATGAATTAACACTCAATTTAATATTTATTCCATACATATCGATCGTCACCAGAAATAGATGAATTGATGGTTTATTGAGAGTGCGACCCTTACATAGCAGTTTTGTTGGAGCCTATTTTCTTTTTTTTTTCAAAGTTTGAATAAAAAAAACAAATTATTCTCATATTAATACCGATTCTGTTTGCTAATTCTTCAAAGACTAACTGACTCATTCATTATATGGACTTTTATGGTGATTTACGTTGGCTATGTATGTTTAAACATAATAGTCATCGAATTTTCATTATTAACATACTAAATGCACGAAGGAATTCTATTCCAAATAAATATTTATTTTATTTTATTTAAAATGAGATTTTTTCGTCATGCAAAAAAGAAAATAAACCTCGTTTAATCAAGTTAAAACAAATCAATTCATAATTCAGATTCAAAAACCACGAATTTGTTGATATATTGTAACACAAAAGCAAAAGTCGATATATTAATCATTATTGTTTCTTTATAAATAATAAAGTGTCACAGGAAGGTTTAATTGATGTTTATTATCATCCCAAATATGAATTGAATTTTCGCGATCAAAAGATGGAATTTTTGACGTAATACTAATGTAGATCTTTAATCGACGATTCTTTTGACAGATTTTAGTTCCACCAATTCAATACAATATACTTTAGTTTGTCATTATATATTATTGAATGAAAGTAGATAAATATAATAGAGATTCTTATCTTGTAATGGTATCATCTATTTATATATAAAAATGTATACCTGTTTACCTACTTGTATATAAATTGTTATTAAAGTGGCTGCAGGATACAGAGACTAATTGGCAAGCTTTCGTTCTATATAGTTCAGATTACCCATTGAATGTAATTCATTAATCAATTGAAGGTAAATTTACTCCAGAATATCAAAGGTTGGCTAGTTAGTGTCATTACCACATTATTATTTCTTTATTCTTGTTTTCGTCATCATCAATCTAGTCTCTGATATTTTGTTTAAATTGACGAACTTGCGATTGAATATGTTATAAGTAAATATTTCTTAGTGATAGAGACAAAATAAATATAAATGATAAAGCGTTAATGCATTCTAATATTAGTGCGCCAATTTCTTTGAATGTAGTGATGCTTTTTGCAAAACGATGTGCCTAAAATTTAATTTAGACTGTGTAAAATAATAACTTGTTTCTTTTGTGTCATCTGAGAGAAAGAAGACCAATCAACCAACCAATTAATTAACTATGATTATGTAACAAGATAATAAATAGCCACTGCATTATTGCAAACCAATGGTTGACAACTAATAACAATAATAATATTATTATTATTATACAAATAATTAAATTGATTTGATTGATTGATTAATTGATTGATTGATTGATTGATTTGATTTGATTTAAATACAAAAAAATTTTTTTTTTTTAGGGGTAAAAAATAATAATTAAATTTTCTTTTCAGAAAAGTATTAAAACACATTTTGAAAACTCCAAAATAAACTTGACAAATTGAAACATTACAACCAGAAGTTTAACTCGTCTAGCCTTGTTGAAATTATTAAAAGGCAAGAAATGCTGACTTGGGGAGAAAAATTCACGAAAAGATATTCAAATAGATTTTGTGAAAATTGTATTAGTCTACACAAAGTCTTTTTAACACTTGGACATCTGGAAATGATATAGTTGATAATTTTATTCAAAAATGTCAATATAATTGTTTTTTATTTATTTAAACAATGGATAAAGATATTCAAAAAGATTTTGTGAAAATTGTATTAGTCTACACAAAGTCTTTTTATACTTGGACATCTGGAAATGATATAGTTGATAGTTTTATTCAAAAATGTCAATATAATTGTTTTTTATTTTACCTTTGATGTTATCTATATTATTATGTATTTAGTACGATGTATTTATTTTTATATATTTGCAAATTAATTGCTTTTTGTAATAACTATTAGAAAAATATGTATGATAAATTAAGATTTTTTTATTATAATAATAAATAAAAAGTTATTCATGAGAAATTATGCATCCTCCACATTTTACGTTCCAAATAGCCTTGTTACTTGCCCGTTATTGAAAGGGAACATGTATGGATGATACACTTTTGTGACATTTCTACTACCGAGACATATTCGATAGGGTCAATATGGAAAAGAATAAATGGATGGATGGAGGAGGAGAAGATTGATAAAGAAGATGAAAAGAAGATTATTGACAATGATAATAATGACTTTTAGTCCGAGTATTTTCTTCCCATGAATATAAAAAAGGTATCCGGCCTATATACAATTCCTCCAATTTTTATTAAGCAAACAGGGTCTAACATTTTCACCAGTTATATAATCTACATGTTATAATATAATATTATGTAAAAACTCTAATTTGGTCAAAAGACCTCGGATGTTGTTTTTGCTGTATGCTATTTCAAGTTAAAAAAATCACCTGTACAAGATTTTTATTATATGCAAGTTTTTTTTCATTTTTCAACATTAAACAATTTTAGTGAGGAGGGAGAAATCAAAAGTAATTATTAGAAATTTTTTTTTAAATATTTCTTTGGACAGACAGACGATTATTAAGGATGATTCTAGGTTTCCTTCTGCCAGAGACGTGAAGGATCGTTCCGATTATGATGAGGGACTGTGAGTTTATACAAGACTCACTGAAGACGCATCCCGATTGGAAAACCCTAGCCCCAGCAAGTTTTATACAAAATTAATCTCCAGATGAATGTGCTTGATATATGCATTATTATTTTACGACTTTTTAAGGCCTACAATTGAGAAGTGAAAGGTGATTTTACTGTTTCCTTGCCATTGACAAATTAAACAACACACTAAACTTCCTTGCTTATTGTTATTACTAATTCACGCTTCTTCTTGTTTCATGATTTCGGAGAATAGAAGACGCAACCGTATAGGATGAAAACAAACGACGGGCATGAACGACCCAACTTTTACACTTATTATGAAAATTGACTTTTGGGGCAAGGGATTCTCACTTTCATTGATCTTAATTGTTTAGTGATAACTAATAGCCAAGTTTGTGAATTATCACAGTTCTTTCCCTCTGAAAAATTGGTTCCTTAAAAAATTCATTTTCGCATGATCTTAGTATTATTAATGGGGATGATGCAATCTATTTATTTTTTTAAAAAAACTACCAGAGCAATTGCGTGGAAGAAAATGTTGCCATTACCTATATCCTTTGATCACGCTCTCTCCTCTTTTCAAATGGTTTCCAATTTCCCATTAGCTCATCACATTTAATTTCCTCGACTTTATTATTAAGTGAAGATTAACAATGTATATAGATAATAATAGGCAATCGCAATAGATATAATATCCCATGATCTACATTTAAAGAAAGAGTTTGAGTAGTATGTGATGGCTGTTAATTGTAAATATTAATCGTATATACGTTTTTCAAATCATTATTATAAATCCATTAGAATTAATTATTTATATATTAGTTAATAATAATAAAAAAAATAAATCTTTATATTCTTTATATATATAATGTATTTATATATACAAAATAAAAAAATAAAAACATAAATAAAACATAAATGAAATATAAAGAAATAATAATACACTTGATTATTAAAAATAATAAATATTAGTGATTAATCTCTATTAAAGAAATAATAATACACTTTATTATTAAAAATAATAAATATTAATGATTAATCTCTATTAAAGAAATAAGTTGGATGACGATGTTGAAAATAATAGAAAATAATAATACATCTTGAAGTTTTACATTCGGTTAATTAATTAATATGTTTGGTTTATTATTATTACTTCGTATGTTTCCACCATTATTGTTATTGTTGTTATTGTTGTTGTAATTATTATTTTGATGATGGTTGTAATTATTATTTTGATTGTTATTCATAGATTGATTAACAGTCGATGAATTGATTTTTTCATTCTCTATCATTTTCTGATTTTCGGCAAATTCTTCATACATTGAATTTCCTTCCGTGAAATTACGAACTGTTAATCGACGCATTTTACGCAAATCACCTGTATCCAATAATCCATTCGATTCTGTTGAATCATTATTTAGCGATGTTGACGTCGGTATAGAGTTCGTTTTAGGGTATCGAGCCACAGGTAATCTTGGTGATATTGGTGCAGATTGAGTTGTTAATTCGTCTATTGATGAAGAATCATCATCTTGTTCTGCTTGAATTGCAAGATCATTAACAACTTCTTCATCTGATGTATCATCTTTCTGAGTAGGTTTAGTAACTATATTTAATTACAATTATTAAATATTATTAGCCACTCATTAATTGAACTATATGTATATATCAAATTCATAGAACAAAAAACTAACCTGTCATTTTTCTTTCTAAACCTACAACTTTTTCTGGTGCACTATCCATGTAATGTACACTGTTACGATTATTTCTACCTGTAATTTCATCACGTATATCACGACGACGAATAGCCGTTACAGGTGACAGTGATATTGGAGGATTCTTTGTATCAGGAGAATTCTGTAAAAACAATAATCATCATTATTATAATTTTTAAACTATTTTAAAAAAATTGTGTAAAAAAATAAACAAATAACCTTTGAATTATCGGGTGCTTCTGATGGTGCATCCATTGTTCTTGGTGCTGCAATACCATCACTATCAGTGAAGAATATATAATCAAATTCTGCCATGAATAAACTGAACACACTAGCTGGTATGCCAAGTGTAGGTGAAAAAACTATTCCGATGTTTCTCGCGGTCATTTTGTTGACAGCTGCATTTTGAACAATTCTTATTAAGTGTCCTGTTAATGTTCTTAGCAGTGTGTAATTAGATAATGGTAATGTAGAGACTAATCGACCAAGTTCATTTATACGTTCTTTTCTATCAAGTAAATCTAAAAAAAAAATTTATTATTATAATTATTATCATTGATAGTAAAATATAAATAATATAACTCTAATTTTTTTTATTTTAATTGAAATGGCATACCAATAACATGTACAAATTCCAAATGTAAATCTCTGGTGAGTACACTGGTTGGTAATTCTCTAAGATAAAGTTTCAACAAACCAGCCACTGCATGCACATCATAATAATCTTCTTCACCCAATAAATTAACATCGCCCTCAGTATTGAATCGATCCTTTAACATTTTTATAGTGGCATTTGCTCCGCTCAATCGATATATACCTTCTTCTTCAGCTGCATCCTTAGCATCTAAATATTCAATGCAACGATAAAGAACAGCTGGTAGCTCATAACCTTCTTTTATTCTTGAGACAGCAATAGCCTGATCAAGTGGAACTCCAAATACGACTTTATGAGCATCAGGTTTCTGATCTTGATATTTTTTTTTATCTTCTTTAATACCAAACATAGTGCCAAAGAATGTTTTTCTAGCTGCTTTCTTATGTTCGTCATTTTGACCTTTTCTAAGGTTTGGTTGACCATTTAAATATGTTGTTTGATTATTGTTATTGTTATTACCAAGAGGTGAAATATCCCTCGGTTCAGGTGCACTATTCTTTTCTAATTCATCCCTTGGAGGTGTAAAGCTATGTCTGCTATTGGTTTTGTTACTACCACTAACACCTAACAACGATGGCGATGTTTGTGTTTGGAAATGATGTGATTGTTGATATTGAAGAGGAGGTTGTGATTGTTGGTGATGAGGAGGAGGGTGTGACTGTTGGTGGTGAGGAGGAGGGTGTGACTGTTGGTGATGAGGAGGAGGGTGTGACTGTTGATGATGAGGAGGAAAATGTGACTGCTGAGAAGAAGGATGTGATTGTTGACGATGAGGAGGATAATGTTGTTGATTACTTGGATGTATGTTTTTTGATGGATCGATTTGATCATTATTAAAATGAGAAGATGATAACGATGGCTTTTTTTGATGATGATGACCTGATGATGCATCATATGATGAAACAACATCACTCGAAGTGATTGTTATACTTGATATTGAGCTATTATTTCCATCATTATGATGATGTTGATATTGATGTTGATGTTGCTGTTGATGATGATGTAATTGTTGTAATCTAGAATCGTTACCATTACCGTTACTGTTGTTGTTATTATTATTATTATTATTATTATTATCATCATTATTTGATTCTAAATCTTTTTGAGATTGTTGTAAAATAACATCAGAAGTAATAGGCTTATCAGTGTGTTCATTTTTATCAGGTTGAGAAATACTTCCTTTCAACTTGCTTTTCTTTTTTTTCGATTTTTCTGTTGCTTCTTCCTCATTTACTCCAACATATTGTAGTAATGCTTCTATCCACGCGTCTCTTTCAGAATCGCTTTCTGCACATAAAACATGTCGTGTATGTGTATTCCTGGAACTGAGTAGTTTTGGTTCTAATATTAAGAAGGCATGTCTATAAGAGTTTTCACCATCTTTATCTGATTCACTATTTGCATTACTTTGTCTACCAATTTGTGCATTGGTTAAACGAATAAACCCAAGTTGACTACCCTCTTTCTATAATTTTAATTGTTTGATTATTTGATAGTAAATATATTTTATAATTTTGGAAAATAAACAAATATCAATTAAATAAAAAAAAAGATTCAACAACATACACTTTCATAATATTCTAAAAGCGGACTATTTAATACAAAATATCTACTTTTCCAACCACCAAAACTTTTGCCTTTCTTGGTAAGATAACCTTCTTTACGTCCAGGTAACTTAATATTATTATTTAGTAAACTTGTTAAATATATTATAATACAAGTATTTATTTATTATTTTATTTGATTATAATTACTAACTTGATTATCTTTGCCATTTGGTTCAAGAACGTTTGAACTTAGAAAATCATATAAATCTTTAGAATCGCTTAAATTTAAAGAAATTACATGTAGCAAATATTGTTCCAAAGCCAACTATTAATTGTTAAATGGATATAAAAATAAATATAAAGTTAACAAATCAATAATAATAGTAGTAGTAGTAATAATATAACTGACTGACCTTTCTTTGATCAACCTTACTTGGAGCATTATTACTAAAAAGAGTTTTATCAGGTAATTTGCCAATTTTTTGTGTAACACTTTTGTGCTGCTTTTGTTTCAACTATTATTAATATATATATATAAATATTAATTCTAAGTTAATATACGAATACACACAATTTATTTATTTATGTCATGTTACCTTACTATCTAATCCCAAGAAATCAGAATATAATTTTTCAATTCTCCATAATTCTTTCTCCATATCAACAATTTTACCATCCACCACTTTTGATTTACCAACAATTATCACAAATGCTAAAACTTCTTTGCCCTTGTCATTTATTTTTTTGTTACTTCCAATTACTTTAATAGTAATACCGGATATAGAATCGTTTAATAATGGAGAAGGTTTGGAAGATGGTGGAGCAAATTTTTGTTGCTGTTGTTGCTCTTGTTGGTATTGATGCTGTTGCCTCTGGTATTGCTGCTGCTGCTGTTGTTGTTGCTGCTGCTGCTGTTGTTGCTGCTGCTGATGCTGATGCTGCTGTTGCTGCTGATGCTGATGATGCTGTTGCTGTTGCTGTTGCTGATGATGATACTGCTGCTGGTAGTATGGTGATTGATTTGCAATTATATTAACATCAGGTAAAGAATCTTTATTTGCTATATGATTCATTACACGTTCAGCCGAAGGACTACTTTCTGTATTATTTTTATTACTAGGAGGAGCCATGATCATACTATTTCTATTTCCTTGATTTCCAAGAGGAATAAACAATGAGCTGTTACTATTGTTGTTTAATAAGCCAGAATTATTTGATTCATTGTGTTGACCACCGCCTTGTAATGGAGAGGGCATTGTTTTATTTTTTTGAGGTTGAGATGTATGACTAAATGATTTACTAGTTCTAAGAGTTCTATCATTATCATTTCCTATGAAATTGTTAGGATCGCTATAAATAAGTGGTAAAGGATCAACATCAGCCTTATTTTCATTATTGATTATTAAATTTTGAACAGGCAATGAATTAGATTTGATAGGTATTTGTCTCATTTGATCAACGAACTGATGGTTGGAATTTTGACCATCGTTATTTATATGATTAATACCATCACTATTAATACTGGTATTAGATGAATTATTTTGTTGAAAATTTTTAGAAATAGGTTGTCTGGGAGAACGTGGTGGAGTAGTTAATTTATTTTGGTCAGCTTGTAAACCTAAAGGCTCAGGTAGATTAAGCGGTTTATTATTTTTAGCAAATGATGAGAGTGTTGATGATTCATTATTGTTGTTGCTGTTGTTGAATGAATTGGGGGCAAAAGGATCCCTAGGAGCAGGTTGTGGAAATTGACCAAGAGGATCAGAATTATCAAATATATCCGATTCAATACTAATAGTTTGAGAGTCGGATAATGTTATTGAATTTGATGGTGAAATAGGACGAGGATGTGGAAAATGAGAGAAATTATTGTTAATATTACTATCGTCATTAATTGGTTTTTGGATGTATATGTTGTTGCTATAGTTGTTGTTGTGATTATTATTATTATTATCTTGATTACTATCGTGATTAAAGTTGTCAGGTTTTTGAGAAGGAGAATTTGGAATACTATTATTACCACTGCTAGAACTATTATTTATGAATATATTTTGGCGTTGAGGAGATTTAAGAGGAATCAGAGGAACAGGGGAGGAAGGTCTATTACCACTAGATATTGAAGGAATATCATCATTTAAAGAATCATCTAATTTTTGGATTTCAAAATGATCATTATTTACAATCGTTGAAGATGATGATATTGATGAATTAGGCTCATCGTTAAGCATTCCTGAATTACTATTGTTGTCGTTATCGTTATCGTTTTCAACTGTTTCTGTGTCTGTAGTTGCAGCTATAGCCGCAGTTGTAACTGTAGCTGTATCTGCAGCTGTAGCTTTATCTGCAATTGTAGCTGTATCTGTAGTTGTGGCTGTGTCTGTAGCTGTAGAAGTGCTAGATACTTCTGGGTCGGTGTAATTACCTATTAGAGCATTAAAAGAAGTATCTGAAGAATTTGAGCGTAAAGAATTTACAGAATCTTTACGAATAGGATAATGTATTTGTAAAGATGGTCTTGATTGATGATGATTATGATTATGTTGTTGGTTATTATTATCATGATTATAATTATTTTCTTGTTCTTGATGATAAACATTCTGTAATTGCTTAGGTTGTGGTGTGAAGGAACGGGATTGTTGAGATTGTGAATTTATTTGATTTGGCATGATTTCTCTTGAACTATTACCATTAATATTAATGTCGATACTATTAATGTTCTCATTATCATCTATATTATTGATTGGAGTTAATAAAATAGCATCTTCAGCTTCAAGTTGATTAAAATTAAGTATATTAGTGTCTTTAAGTTTCGCTACAAGTTTATCTCTATCGTTAGTTAATTTTTGAGCATCAGTTTGTAAATTTTTTATCATAATCTTTTGCTTTTCTATGAGTTTCCATAATTGATCGTTTTGAGATCTTAACAAGTTACGCTCGTTAATTACTTGTTGAAGTAAAGATTCAGGCGAGCCACCGCCATCTGAACTGCTGTTTGGATGATGACCTTTTTGATGTTGATAATTAGGAGGAGGAGAGGGGGAGGGAGAAGAAGAGGGAGAGGAAAATATAGTATTCGTTTGTGAGGGAAAGGGTTGTAGCGTCTGTGTATATGGTTGTGGTGGTGGTGTAGACATGTTTTTTTATTTATATTATAATCAAATATTTTGTAATAAATTAATTTCAAAATATAAAATGAAAATTTTTAAAACAATTAAGGTAAAAAAAAAGAAAAAAAAAGAATAAAATGACTGTTAAAATTTAATAGGGTTTAATTTTATATTATTAGCATCCAAAAGTATTTAATTGAAAAATTAAAGAACACACAATGTTTGTTGTTGTTGGTTAATAAATTTTAAATTTTTATTTGGGATAAAGTGATTAATTGATGAACATTGCGCATGTGCATCAAAAGTCTTTTTTTAAAAAACCCTTATATTATTATTAAAACAACAAAAAAACGTAAAGCTAAACTAGAACTTTTTAAACAACTTTTAAAAAGTAACTAACTTAAATATTAGCGATTCTATGAAAAGTTGAACTAATCTCAAAATTTTTTATGCAGCTAATAAGATATAAAAAAAATGAATTAGTAGCATATCCTTGGCTGTTACACACTAACATTAAAAATTTAAAATTACTAGTCGCGTTACAACGAATTTTATGTGAGAATTTTCTTATAACGAGTTAGATGTGGTTTTTGGATTTTTATTATTACTATATATATTCGAATAGATATTCGATTATTCGGTTATTTTATTTATATTCTTGTTACACGTGCGAATATTTGGTACTACATACCAAATATAAAATATCCGGTTCTCGTAGATCATATCATTTATGGGAAGATCTATACTCGAGTGTTACAATTTTTATCTATTAATTCTATTTATTTTCTTTTTTTCTCAGTTTCTCAGTTGAGGAAGGATAAAGTCTTGTTTATTATTTAATTTCTATAACAAATTTCAATTAACTTGGTTTCCATAGTTAGTTTTCATGTCAACCAAAAAGACACATTGCAATTTAATAATAATACGAAAAGTAAAATAATAATAAAAAATAATAAAAATAAATAATAAAGTATACCCAAATATTATTTATCGTGTTTTAAAAACCTTTTTTACACATTATGAAATCACATAAAAATCCGTTGAAACGCGATTGGTAATTTAGTAATTTCGTTTTAAATGAAATTTTCAGCCCTCCGTTGAAACTAGAGTTATACTATAATAATATTATGAATAAATATAGTTAATGTCTCAAATTTATTATTCGTAAATTATTAATAATGTTGACGTATTAAAAAACCCATTCGAAATTAGTTTAGAAATGGTTTAGGGAAATAATTTTACTGCAAAATACAGTCAAACCTTGTCACAACGGATAAACGGGACACATAAGAAAATTTTATTTAAAATTCGTTCACAACGGATTTTTATATGTTTTTATATATTAATATTAATATGAAGAAAAAATTTAAAAATCCATTATGACCGCCCAACAAAATTAATATTTCCGTAACAAAATGAATCAAGTTGTTATATATATAACACATGTACTGTGAAAAATCTATTGTATGTCACCGCCAAATCAAACGGTTAAATTCAAATCTTGGTTTTTTATAATTGTGCGAATCAACATTTAGCCTGTGACATACAAAACTTTTTAGATCATATAAAAATTTTGAATGCTAAAATAATTGTAAATCATTGTCAAAAATTAAATTAAAAATCAAATTGAAATATGAGAAAATAAATCACATCTTATGGTGTAATATGAATTACACGCCAGTTTTCACATGAAAAATATAACCCGAATCACTATAAGCCGATTTTCGCTTTATAATGATTAAGCTAATTTTAATATAATTTGATAAACCGGGTTTAAGTTTGATGTTGAATGATTATGAAACAATTTTACAATCGTCTCATAATGGTTTATAATTACCCTTAAAAGTAAATATCTACACATGAATGGTAATAATACTAATACTAATACTAATTAACAATAAACTGAATTTTGATAAACCGATCTTATTTTTGTGATTTTCAAAAGTTCGGTTATAATGATAAAACCCTGCAGGCTTTCAACCCATACATATCTCTTTGTGCTATTGATCATTAAACATAATAATATGTTACACCAATAGAACAAATGAACTTTTTATCATATATTCCAACACATGTAAATGTTGACAACAAAATTCAATCAAGAATATATTTTTTTTTTGAAAAAAAAAGAAATTTATCAGTTATAATGGAAATTTTGTGATAAAATTTAATAATAAATCGAATAACTTTAAATCATGACAACTTGATTTTTTTTATAATAAAACTGAACGAAACCTTTTATAGTTTTAAAGTTACAAAGAGCCTTTTGTCCCATCTCATTTGGTTATAAAGTTTATCTATTAGCAATTTTTTTTTCAATATCTTTACTATATATAAAAAAACCGTAAACTCTCCGTAATCTAAAAGCTTGATCTATTTACTATAATTTCCCTTAGTTTCATGTTTGTATCTCTTTATTTGAAGGCTGTGTTACGATTTTTATTTATGGTTTTATTTTATTTTTTTTAGAAAAAGTTTATTTATTGATCAGCATTAATATTAAGTATATCATCTAATAAAACGGATATCCAGATATCCTATCCGTTTGTCAAAATTCTATCCGGATATCTGCGGATATCCTAAGGATGATTGTTACGGTGCAAGAATTATATTGAACAAGTAAAAATTTTATTTTTATTTATTTGTACATTAGCGAAACAAATAAAACAACTAAATATCTTGAATAAATTATTAGGCAAATGACCATGCGAGGTCCTAACGCTCAATCGTGTATACCAAGATTAGAGAAAGAAACAAGAAATCTTAACTCAATGCCCGAGAGAAATATCACCACAATAAAATTAGCGCTTGTTATTCAAAGTATCAATATTTAGATATATTATTATTTATATTTTTTGTATTTTTTGTACAATTAATTATCAAAATACCACGCGATGATCGACGATTACTTGGTTACTGAACTCCTTGTTATAACGGACAATTGAGGTCAAAATTTGTGTGTTCATTATAATATAAATGTAATTATTTCAAGAAATAGAAATTACATTTATCATTAGGTGATTTTTCCTTTGTCAAACCAAAACTATACCACCAACAAAGCATCTAATCTAATTCACCATGTTTCATATTAACTTTTGCTAGGATCTCATTAAGACTTGCTTCCATTATATCAACATAAGCCCTTTATTATTGTAAACTAGCATTTTCAGAAAACTGATGTCTATATCATTCACATATTTAGAGACAAATCCTTTATTTTTAAATTCTAGGTGTGAACTCCCCAGCACCAACAAAGGGTTCAAAAATAGTATACTTTATATTATCTAGTTAAATTGTGATATTGTTCTACAGTTTTATTACGTGTTTCAATTTCTTTTGTAAGAGTTTTTACTGAATTTACAAGTATTTGTCATTAAACTGCTATTTCTTTGAAATTGTATAAAGCCGTAATCATCTCGTAAAATACTCATAAAGCTAGAAATATCTTTTTCCATAATTAATTTTTCGTGAAATAATTTCTCCTCCAAATTCGTTGTCTAAAGTTCAATGTTGACTTCCAACTTTGGCATAGTTTTTCATCAGGGACTATATTGTAAAAGAAATTCTTAAGCTTACTTAAACAATTAATGGTTAATTTAGAAACACGCTTTTTAGAAGAAAGGCTTTGTGCACTAAAATTTAAGTATTCTAAGTTATTACAACCTTGAATATACAAATTTTTGATTCGTTTTCTTTGCAAGGAATTGCGTTTAACCTTTTGAAATTGATAATTTTAAATTATTTTCTGCACTGTTTAAGATTTTTAAGGAGCCGCATCCATCTGTATTTAATTTAAAAACTGCAGAAGCAGTACAGTATATTTCTTTAAACCATTACAGTCTAATGATGAAAAGGATAATAGTTTCTATATATAACAAACTTTTTAATCCACTTAAATGCTTAACCTCCAATTTTTCAAGTTGATTGTCATAACAACACAAATCAGTTAGTTTTAAATTATTCTTTAAATATAAACTGCTTGAACTATTTAAACCTACGTTTAATCCTTAATTTGAAGCAAGCCTTCAAAAAATTGTAAAGAAAATTTTGAAAAAGTGAACATTGGTGGTATATTTATTACCAAGAATTTCAGGGGTCCAATAGTTTGTTTAAAATCACAATTGTATTACGTAACGTGATCATTATATTATTTTTTTTCTTAGGATTGATTACCATTACCTTTAGATAAAAATAGTTAATATGAAGCTAATTTACATTAGGTCTACAATGGAACCCAAGAATTATAGCACCATTAGAAGAAGGAACAAGGGCATCTTACATTTTCAAAATAAATGATACTCAAACACTTGAGCTTATCTAAGAAAAGGAAGGATTACCTATGAAATTTACCAAGAAAAAAAAAATAATAAATGTTGGAAAAAGAAAGTATCATGAGACTCTTAAAGAACTTAGAAGGAAACATAACTAGATAAATCAATGTTCACCAGTCCACTAATTAATATACTCAATTAATAGAACTAAATATATCGTGTAACGTCTGAAAAACGAAATAAAAATAATAAAAAGAAAATATTCGTTTTAATTGTTACACTCATGTTGAAACATTATAAAAAACATCACCGATTCACTTAAAAAATTCAATAACAACTCCTAATAATCATTAAACACAATTTTATTTGAGTTTAAAAAACAATCAAATAATCAATAAATATTTACACAATATTTTTATCCATAATAACATTTAAAAAAAATGCACACTTTCAATAGTGAATTTTTTTGGGGATTGTTAATTGGACTTTTTCTTG